TGGACTCCGTATGGCACGTAGCGTCGAAGAAACAAAAGTGTCCGTGTAGGAGACATCGGACATTCCACAGGATGGAGAGGAAAAAAATCAAAGAGTATTAGATTGGCGCAGAAAATAACACGACTGTCAGCTTCTCAAGAAGTATTCTGCTCGGTAAAATTATGCAGTCACAAGCCCCCCGTCCTTTTGTTTCTCTCCTCTCTCTATTTGTATTTCTCTTTTCCCTACTTGCCTTTCTGGACCTAATTCCTAGATTCAGAAGATGATAACTTTAATCCCAAGGACGATGCCGTAAGAACTGGCATTTTCCATTACCACTTCAAACAAATGATTTTATAATTCATAATAGCAGTAACGACGCACCGAAGACAGTTGAACAGAGTTACTGCAAAATTACATACGACGCAGAAGAGGAATATCCGGGATAAAATGGGCTCTTTACGGAAGGAGACGTGTGACGAGTAGTCTGAAGTTCATATTCATAAATACTGCTAAACAGATTTTTATTTTCAGGACATATAATTTTTCTAAAGACATTTATTTACTAGTACACATATATTTTTAACTTAAAATTTTATATTTTACATACATCGCACTATACTCTATACTTTCTATTGCAGAAAATTATGACCTGCTTATGAAATATATATTTATATATATTTACTTTTATAGACGCTCTTAATAATTACATTTATTTTATTTTACTTATAAAAATTCAAATAGGAACTTTGGTTTCATTATGAGAGTATCTATAATACTCCCAAAAAAAAAAAAAAAAATGTTTCGTCACTTAAACAGCTGAAATCTGCTTCAGTAACAAATTTGTGACTTCAATCTCTTCTTTGGCCACATAAACGTACAATATATCGGTGCACAATATGATAAGTCTTTAATCAAAAAATATATTCTGGTCCGCATTGCAACACTACACTGTCTTTTTTTTTTTACCAATTGGTAGAACTGTTAAGTGCCTACAGGAGGGTCACATCCATTTTAAACCGAGTCGAAGTCACTCGCGATATGAAAACAGATTATCAGTATGTTTTACGACAGATACTGTTGCGGTACCTCGCGATATGAAAACAGATTATCAGTACTTTTTACGACAGATACTGTTGCGAAGGAAAAACGATTAAATCCACTTCTTCAAATTTGAATTCTCTTCTCGACGAGACTCGTCTTTCCCATTCACGATTCAGTTTATCTGAACGTCGCGATACGATGCGATCCTCTGACGAACTTGATCAACATTTTAATTTTCTACGCGCTTTTGAAGAAGCAGTCCCAAATTTTATGCTAAAAGACAATTTGGCAAAGTTGACGTTGGTCTTCGACGTAGTAATTCCACGTAAATATCGACATTTCAGATAGACACACTCTCTCCGGTATCAGTTGTGAAAATGGATGCAGTACGCGTCTCAAAAGCATTCATGGTACTTCTAAGTCCGCATGATGCTACTACCCAGAAGACCGACGCTGACATCGTCGCAGCTGAGAGAACCTCAAATCTTGTATCAACGAATGGTAAGCTCTAAGAAACAAAGTTATCTCAAATGTGCACGTACATCGGTGGTACTGAACGCAAACTTCTCGATTAATACACGAGCACAGGAAGAGGCTCGCAGCTCTGCGAATGTCATACCCCCGCATTTATTTCAAGATTATACACGCGTGGTTCGTACCGTTAGAAAGGTGGGGCCGATGGTTTAGAAGTTCTTCAAGTAGAGGCGTTGTCGGGGAAATCTGAGCAGTTGTCTGACGGTCAACCTTAGCAATATTTCGAGTTAAGACTTATACTGTCACAATAAAAATTCAGTGGTTGCCGATATTTCAAATCAGTCATTTTAAAAAGATACCGAGTGGTCCATTCAGCATCAATTTCCTCTATCACAGACGACTCTAGATAAAATACAGACCGATCACTTCTTGCTTCTATCGTGCGATGAATTATATTTCTGGTATCATCATTCCATTTTATTTTAAAAAGGCTTTTTTTAGGAATGGCAAGAGATGCGTATTCCACAAACTTCTCAAAAATAAAATAAATCCAGACAAGAAGCGTCAGATGTGATCTATAGCACGGAATGGATTAGCAACATCCACATATCTCCGAGCTAGTGGATAACTTGCGTTAAAATGATGATGCAGTCATTCATACTTAAACAGAAAATTTACACTTTATTTCAAATGTCAGTCGTGTTATGTAATGTTACTTCATACGCGCAACTCGGCGTATTCAGGACTGGGCAGCGCGTTGCCTCCACGCTCAGCAAACCATATTTAGACAGGAAAAAACATGGTATCCACCTGCCAGATTCTGTCGAGATCTTCGGTTCTCATTTGCAGCAGCATCCGAGAATGTAATATCACGTGAAACGCTCTCCTCTGCGTGAGGAAACTTGTCGCAGCCACCGTGAGCTGCAGGAACTTCAATCTCTTTCAAAACGTCCTTTTCCTTCGTTACCGAGATAACATTTCAGTCGTACTAACACGCCATTTTTCAATACAGCCATCAACCACTGACATATACTAAAAAAAGAAACACAATACCTTTCAGATCTGGAACAGACCAAAAATTAATTTGCTATTAAACCTGTACAATCGTGTCAAGAAATAAATTACTTTCCCTTCGTACACACTTGCAACGTAAAGTGCCACAGACGACTGCTTCAGATTAATCGCAATACTTATCTTGCCTCCCGAAACAACCGTTCGTACAGATATGCCACTTTCCGGACACTCTCTCCCTCATTTTCAAATGACGGACTATCAGCGCACTAGGCCACGCCTTTGGACATCATCCGGACAGTGTTCTTGAGGGCCTGCCTCTTGTTGCAGAACCATATTCTTATTACTTCCCTCTCATAGCCAAGCTGGTGTGCCAAAGCGGTGATTTCAGTACCTAGAAAGAAAATCATCACAAATTTGATCATCACGATCATTGAATCTAAAATGGAGCGCCTGTTAAAGAGACCTACAACAGTGCGGTGTCAGCGTCCTGAATTATATATTTTAAAGCGTCGCGCGTCTACCTGAGGGATGCGTGTTCCGTTCGAAGTGAGCGTTGAGCAGCTCCAGTGCCTGAGGCGTGAATGATGTTCTGCGTTTCCTCTTCTTGGATGGCTCGACGCCAATGAATTCAGTGAGATGGTTCTGTCCGCTCTTATATCTGAAACACAACCAGCTTGTAAATTTATCAGATGCACTAAAATGAGACTGGAAGAGCATATTGCGACGGAGTGCAAATATATTCTATATTGCTATTTTGCACTCACACGGATACACTAGGCCCATATTTTCTTGTAGCATAACAAAAGTAAGCTAATAATTCATCTTGTTTCTATCAAGCATATGGTATCATGGAAGTCCCCTGCGCTGCGTCTGCGTACAAACAATAAATACAGTTGACCTTGAACACACTTTGAGATCGCACGAGTAACTGGGAATCAAAGTGCAAAGTTCACATTATATTTACCTCTCTTCAGCTTCTTTCATCCACATTTCCAGCACTGGCTTGATTTTCTGTGCACTCTTCGGTGTAATATCCAGCTTTTCAAACCTGAAAACACAACGAAACGTTTTTGTAGAAGAAATATTCTACGATAAGAACATACATGAATACACATACAATATTCAGGGGCCATTCAAGATTAAAATTCTCTTAAACCCTTTTTTAATGTGTAAGTTCTGTAGACTAGTTTTAACTCTTGACAGAAACTTCCATTTTTCACAACAAAATGTTTGATATAGCTATTCGTAACTTCGGGTGAAAAATCTTTGTTATAAATATCCAATCTTGAACTGCAGCCACACTCCTAGCCGTTACTATAAATCAGTTTTAAATTGAAGATCTAGTTCTGGCTCTAAATGATTTGCTGCGGGCTTAACACATGCAACTTACACAAATCATGCAAAATTTACAGATTTCCAAGCTTTAAAAAAAATAAATAGAAAACAGCCATGCCTTAAATACGTAAATCAGGAGACACAAAAGAATTGTTAAAGTGAATGATGAAGTGGAGGAATAAAAAAAAATGAAAGCAATAATAAAGATAACAAATAAACAAAAAGTGAGTCTATTAATCCTCAGCACTTTCAAGAAACAAATATTTCAGAGACGAATAAATACAACGTCAAAGTTTCATGAAAGCACATACACGACTCGTGAAGTGTTCAAAGCAGCGGTTTCCAGTCCATTCAACTGTGAAATCAGCAGCTGCAGCTGGAGAGACGCTTTAAAAAGTGCTAAGGATTAAATCTGTTAAAATAGCATGCAGACAACTGTAGCAGGGTTGCCAACAGAATTTATTTGTCTCACATTTATCGTTTTAAAATTTAATATGGCATTCCGCATGAAATATAACGCAGAATTTAAATAAATTTTTATGATACATTTAAATTTACTGCTAATGTTTCTAGTTGGCAACACTGCAGAAATTATTCATAAAATGCCAATGCCCTGGCTCACTTACTAACCAAAGAAAAAAATTAATAAAATGGGAATCAGTATAGAAAAAAAAAAAAAGGAGAAGGGTGTTAAAAAATCTTTCCAGAACTCAAAATAAATTAGTTTAAATTTAAGACGTGGAAAGAGAATGGGAAATACGTACTTTAATTTCTATATCAAGAAATAAGACGACAAACAATCCATCCATGAACCAGAAGTACCACTGTTTGCCATAGAAAAATTAATTTAGCACATGTTTTTTATTGTTTCATGCTCATTTCCTACACCACTTCATGCAGATATATTCATTTTAACTTAAGCCTCAATTGCGAAAGACGTCACTAAGACTGACGGCTAGTTACGCTGTTTTCTTTTACAGATTACACTTTCGCTTTTAAAAAGTACTGTACTGGTTACTTTTCCCAGCACATTGTCAAATACAAATTTGGTACACAGTTTCTGAAATCGATTATTCTGCCTGAAAAATTCATAAACTCTGTTCGCCCGACTCCTCGACAGTTAACGTAAATTCAGTACCAAGCAGATTATTCCTGATACTGAAGAATTCATTTTTGACAATGTTCAGGATATAACTGTACAGACTGATAAATGTCGTGTAATAATTTAAAGTAAAAATACCAGAAAACTGACAACACCCATTTAAAAATATTCTGAAATAAGCCCAACAGAAGCAGCATCTGAGCCTATGCATCATAATTGAAAGCATCTTAAAGATATGACGTAAGAAGACAAGTGGGTGTAAGGATGCCAAGTGCCAGAAGTGCAATAAAAGAAAGAAAGAAAGAATGACAGAGATATAAGGAGAAAGTAATAGAAAATAAAAAAAACGAATATAACTGAGGCCAATTATATAGCCTGTGATGTAACCATTTGATGACGTACATAGCTTGATGCTGTGACGCAAGCTGCGCAGCACAGTACATCTGAGTAGCCAGGGCACTGGGGAGAGACAACCACAAGCAAAACATTACTTCTTCCTTTAAACCAAATTTCTTCACATAAGTATTACTGCCGACTCAAACTCACTGCCACGTTCTAAAGTTCGAGGTATTATAATGTATGTACCCAGAATAAGCGCCTCGTAACAAGATGTATTCCGTGGGCAGACGTTTGAATCTCGCCGGTCTCTGACACACAGCACGTCATAATCGACATGCTCCGACACACTGTGAGCTGGACGAGCCCTCATGTTCATCGTGTTTAATCATGAAATCGCTATCATAAATTTAAAAATATGGGAATTGTATGTAAGTACAAAATATTTTAGAAGACTTGGTATATGGCAAAAATTTTAAAGACAAATCATAAAATTTGATAAAAGGAAGCATAAAGTTGGCACACCACTCACCTTTGGTGTGGCTGGAGTTGTACACAACTGAGCAAGTAAGCTCAGTTCACTCTGAGTCAAATCCAAGGACAGTTCTTTATATGAATACGGCAAGTTACCTCCATTCAATCTACAGCCACTTCCCCCCCTAACTATCTGATTCACATTTCATATAATTCTATTCAACAACGTTTGCGTCCTGATACAGCATTCAAAAACAAAAACACGTACAATGGTGGAAGCTTGCCACTGGGATCGCTACCACAAGTGAAAAATTGACGTAGTGTTTAAAATAAATTCTTTTTGGCGCATCAGGAATGAAGAATTACAAAAAAAATGTGAATATTTAGCTTTGCCACGTCTGCCGGTTAATTTCTCCGCGCGTAACACAGAAACTGCTGAACGGATTTTAACGCTTATCACATGGGAATAGCGGACTAAAACCCCATATTACAGGGTGTCACCCCATAACTAAAGAACAGTCAAATTTCTATGCCTTCCACATGACATGCTTTGCAACACGATTTACGCAATTTTCTTTTTCCAAGTACTAGGCACAATTACTGAAACAAAGAAACCAATAGAGAAACTGCATATAAAATCCCCACTTAATGGTACCTGCACCTTGTCGTGGTGGTGGGGCTTGAGTACCTCAGTGACCCCAAGAGCTACTGGTAGTGCCTCCCTAGCCAGATTGGTCGAGGGGGAGAGGTCAGACTAAGACCGGTACCCTAGTCCTCCAGGTTGGGGGTTGCGCCGTAAAAAGGAAAGCCTCGGACAGATGGACCTAACAGAGGACCGAACGGAAGAGGAGAATTGAGGAGGCCATGGACCGAATACGGACCGGAGAGCCATAGAAGAAGAAGATCCCCTTAAAATAAATTCTCAAGACTAACCACAAAGCGTCACAGTCCCTGTGTAAACTAGCTGACATTCGAAATCCCAAAAAATTGCATATCCCGTAGACGTGAAATACTATTTCCAAAGCCAATGTTCTGCCATGTTCTACTTTACCGAGCAAACACAAAGAGAACAGAAATATGAAATCATGTCTGGCACGTCGAGTTATGCACCTCCCAAATATAACTACTACAAAGTAATGGTTTATAGAACTGCAATAATTTTTTGTTACTGTAACAGTAATGAAAATCTAATGATTCTATCAGGTGATTCTTCTTCATTCACGAATATAAATTGACCCTCTACTTTTAAACAAAAGCAGAACTAAAAGGGACCTTCATTGCATATTTGGGTTAATATGATACCAAAATATATCAGCATTTGTGAAGCCCACATTTATCACAAGCTGAAGCAACAATTTCAAGTCCACATTCTGTAGATTTACTTCACACATAAAAGCTTTTCATGTTAACGCAGTGTGGAATTTGTACCGTAGATGTGCTTTGCTATGCACGTGTAGTGAAATATATCTGAGCCCGGCTCGCCGAGCCAGACTCGTACGTGGATGGGCCGCTTCACTTTCAGATCAGAAAGGCTTGACCAACTCACAGTGTCGTCACATGTTTTGCAAAGTACCATCATAGTAAAAAAAAATTCAAGAACAAAAACTTCCAATTTTCCATTTCGTTAAACATCTCACATCACAAAACTTATAAATGTTATGTCAATATTCTGCTTGATTTTGAATATTCTACGATGCTTCTGTCTAAAACAAATAACTAGGGTTGTTAGTTCAGCTACTTGTTACCTAGAAATTATGCGCTATTAAATTTAATGTATTTCTGAGTCATTTAAAATATTGGTTGTTGTTGTTATCAAATCTAACATTCACATCGATACACACAGATACAGCACAAACATTTACAGAACAGTTCTAAAAGGATGCATTTAAATTCAACAGGTCATCACAAATGTCATATTTTCATTTAATATGACATTAAATCATGTAACGAGTAGTAAATATATTTTTTCCGCTAAATTAATGATTTGTGTCCATTTTATTTTGAAAATGTAGTTCGAAGAATCCTTATGTGAAAAAAATTATAATTTATAATTATTGTGGAGCAAAATCAAGAACTAATTTTATTATAATTTAAAATGTTTATTAATTAAAGTTCGTACTGAATTAAATGACAAATTACCAATTACAAATTACAAATGTACCTCGAAAGTTCAGATATTACTTAATTTAGTCAACTGAGGCTCTTTCTTAAAAATTCCGATTAAGAACATTCGTGAAAAATTAATTAATTTATAAACTGAATGAAAATACCACAAAAATCGTTTCCACATACTAAATTGCAATCATTAAATTTTTGTCATCGCCGTCTGCGTTATGAAGCAAGTCTCACCAATTATAAAAATATTTCTGCGAGAAGTTCTACTAAGCCGAAAGCAGAATTACGTCAGTGACACCGACGCGTCACATAATTACAGAGACCAGGATAAATATATTAAATAAATGAGCACTCATTATTATACATGGAAGTACGTACTGAACTTGAAATCTGAAAATAAAAATTATCGATCCAACAAAATTGTCGTCTTCCACGATGAAACGAGGTTCAAACCAACATCTAAAGCCATCATAACAAAAATAATATTTTAATTAAATTCTAATACTGAAATTAAAATCCAGTTACACATAATTTTAGCTGTGCTTTTACCTGCAGATAGCACTCTGACTGTAAGCGGGGCCCTCGGTAATGCTCAGCGCCTGTCCGACTTGCGTCTGGGTCAAGCCTAGAGACAGTCGTCGAAGCTTGAAAGCTTTTGCGAACTCCTTGATCTCATCCAGATTGATCCCATCGACGACATTACTGTTGGTCTGGTTTATCGTCGGCTGATCTGCGAAGATAAAACAGAGAAACCGATACACCTGGAACCTACAACACTTTATGCGACGCCATAACCTCGTTTTAATATCCTTCGAATGACGAGACCATAAAGTATCAATTTACTTGGTGAATCAGCCAGGAAGTCAGATGTCGGACTGCTACGACTGTGTTGCGTGCCTCCACCGCTGCCATTACTTGAAGAATGCTGCACAGACATGGACGACGATAAAGACTTTGGATGCTGATGCTGCTGTGGTGATCCATGTGTCGATGTGATGGTGATATCAGAATTACTGGCTGCTAATCGGTTGATAACGTTTAGAGATGATTCTGTTCCATTTAGCAAACCGTTCTGGTTATGTTTTTCTGGTACCTGATAAAATACAGACAAAATTTTAAATCGACTGACTCGACCGAGCATTTTACAAGCCTGAAACTTCGATGCCTGCAATGAACTGTGCCATGAGTGTGAGAAGTTACCGAGTAGTGATGGTTGTGCTGTTGGTGGTGAGATGACCTCTGAGGTGGTTGGTGGCTGGGTGCTGAGTTTGGCTGAGCTGTAGCTGTCACCAGTGATGACTGCGGACTAACCAGTTGGGGCTGCTGCATCGCAGACAGCAACTGCTGGTGCTGCTGAACGGCTGCCGCGCTTCCGTTCGTCAGTAGGTGAGGTAGGGAGGCTGTTGCAGCTTGATTGAGGTTGATACCAGGCCCCAGTGTGGGACTCGGGGATGGCACTGCTATGGTGAAACATTTTATCGGATATTGTTCAGAGTTAACAAAGAGCCTTGGTAATTAATTAATTACATGGTGCACATCTTTCTTGAAAAGGTCAGTTATTGAGATGGCAAATAAATTTAATTTTTGTGGAACTTGAAGGCTCATTACTGTCTTCACAAAAATTCACCTTTGGAAACTGCTCTAGGCCAGTTGCATGCAGTCAACATTTACACATACCATTTCTCTAACACCCAGTTTTAAGTACAGAAGTTTAGTCCACACTAATAAAAAAATTCAAATAAACATTAGCCACACATCATATTTTATATGGTGCACCCATTATTTGAGAAAATATAAGTCTGATTTCATCTTCATGTAAACTAGGGGTTATGAATGTAATATTTAAATGCATGACAATTTTAGGCACAATTTGTTGCAGTGTGCAGGTATGTTGGGTCTATCAGTCCATGCATTAGTATTGCTCCGATAAATGTACTTAACCTATTCATATAACAACAGTTTGTTATCACCATCATTAAATGCAGCCAGTCATTCTTCCCAGGGTTATGCACATACACTTTTGTCATTGCTATCTGCATTATAAAGCAAGTCTCACTAATTATAACAATATTTCTGCGAGAAGTTCGACTAAGCCGAAAGCAGAATTATGTCAGCAACACCGATGCGTCACATAATTATTGAGACCAGGGTAAATATATTAAGTAAACGAGCACTAATTATTATACACCGAAGTACGTACTGAACTTGCTGAAAATGAAATCTGCTAATAACTACTATACTATCTCTATAACACCACTGTTATATGCATCTAGATAAAAGCCACTGCCTCAAATAATTTCTTACATTATTTAAAAAATGTACGTATTTATTGTTCCGAATATTAATATTTGTTATTTGTGATTTTATATGCCATCTAGACGGTAAGAAACGGAACTACCAAGAGCCCATTACATCTACAGTGGATCAGTTAGTGTAAGTTGATCTTGTGTGCCATCTAGATGGGAAGAATTACAACTACATCAGTTCAATCAATCAAATAATGCTTATTAAGAGCTGAAAATAATTTTAAGATACCACAGAAACCTCATGCATATAAGAATAAATTTTGTGACGGTGTTTTCAAGGGGCTCACTGGGGAGAATATATCTTTAAAGTGTTAAATGTACCCCAAACAATGGCTCTGACCAATGCAACTGTGCC